TTAAGCTATTTGCTGACCAAACATACTGGTGGAAGGGACCTAATAAATAACACACTGATGCTTATAAACCTGGAAAGTGTCCAGCCAGTTTGCGGTGTTTGAAAGGGCGGAGCAGGGAGCTCTGTCACAGTGTCAATTGCAGTACAGAAGTTTGGTGATGTTGATACTTGTCCATTAGGAATTGGACTGAAAACACCAATTCATTTCACAGTGGTCAACAAGTGACTGGCAGATGGTAATGAGTTTTAGGCACTACCAATCTTGTTCTAGTTCAGATCAGTGCCTGAGAGGTGAAAAGTTCTGTATCCCATTTCAAACCCACTGAGATATCCAGTCTCACTGTTTTTTGTTTCTCATTGACAGAGTTGAACATTTTAAAAAACCCACTTAAATATGAAGAATCTAGAGAACATAATCATAAGATAGTAATAGCGCTAAAACAGGGCAATAATGGGGTGTGTACTTTGACCATGTTCCTTTTTAATATTTAAATAACACTAAACATTAACTAGTAAGAATGTTTTGGAACTTCCAAGATCTTCCTCCCCACCCCTGAGGAACTTGAGAAAACATTCTTATTTACTACATGCTAACTGCTATTTGATAAAGCCAGGGTAAATCAGAATGTAGAGAATGGGAACTCAAATCTGTAATAGCATCTAAATTAAAAGCTCATTTAGTGGTAAAAATGTGACACATTACAAAATGATAGTGAAGATTCAATGAGACTGATCTGTAGACAGCAATATTTTTAGTTAAACATTATTGTATAAGTTTCTTTTTTAATCCTATGAACAACAACTTGCCAAAACTCTTCGCATGGGGCTCAATGTACAGACTGAACACAGATAACCAGTATGTGACAGGTATCACTGAAATATTTAAAATTTCATCAGCTGAAGACAAAATATAAAACATTGGTACCTAGTTGCTTCAACAGTTTCTTTTCCAGAGTTTACAGACACATAGAAAGGTGCATCATTATTGTATTCATCAAATACTCCCCAACGAAGATGGGCCCATTCATGGACAAAAACTTTAGCTGTGAAAGAGCAAGAGCATATGTGAATTCTAAATATAACACTTTAAGTTTACTTTATGCTTCCGTAGATCATTTAAACAAATTTAGCCCCAATCCTGCAATAGCCTCTGCTTGAAGATATCCCTGTGCTCACTGTGGGATCTGGCTTGAAACCCAAATAGATCACTGTGTTCAGATTAACCCTCCCAGAATATTAACAGACCTAAAGTAAATATCTGTTTCCATAAAGTAGCTTCTGACTATTCCAGGTATCAAGCAAGGTTTCTCATGTTACCCATGTCTTTTAAAATCATAATTCTTGGCTCTTATATAACACAAAGAAAAAGATGTATATTAGAAAACCATAGAGAAGTTAGTTTAACTTCAGTTCAGGGTAAAACTAAGGATTATGTAGCTCAGGGGTCGGCAACGTTCGGCACGCGGCATGCCAGGGTAAGCACCCTGGCGGGCCAGGCCAGTTTTATTTACCCGCTGACGCGGCAGGTTCAGCCGATCGCGGCCCCCACTGGCCGCGGTTCGCCGTCCCGGGCCAATGGGGGCGGCGAGAAGTGGCGCAGGCGAGTGATGTGCTGGTCATGGTTTCTCGCCACCTCCATTGGCCCGGGATGGCGAACCACGGCCAGTGGAGGCCGTGATCGGCCAAACCTGCCCCGTCAGCAGGTAAATGAAACTGGCCCGGCCCGCCAGGGTGCTTACCCTGGCGATCCGCATGCCAAACGTTGCCGATCCCTGATGTAGATAGTTGAAGGCGGATAAAGTGTAAAAGGTTAGACAACCAGAATACTTTTGCAGAAAACCAAACTATCTCACCAAGACAATCTAACCCCTTTCTTGCAGGTGTTGGTAAAGCCATTGACATGGAGAATGTATATCATGTTGTCTAACTAAAGCTTTCAACTAAAGATGGGCCAAGGAAGCAGAGCTCAGCTCAGATTAAGTTTATGTCACAATTCAAGATTTGAGTTCAATGCTTCACCTGGCTAGAATTTGGGTTTGTATTTGACTTAACTAGAATCCAATGAATTATTCTAAGGAGATTTTTGTCCCAAACTGCCAGAAATCTGATCAGAAAGACCGTTCTTGTGAGATTTCCACCATTTTAGGCCAACAAACCTCTACATTTTTGATCCAAGCTCATGCAGGTTTGTCTTGGATTTGAATCCAAATAACCTTGCACATTTACCAGGGTTCAGATTTGAGGGACTGGTTTTGACATAGCTCTATTTTAAAAGAAACACATAAATGATTGATTCTAACTTGTGTATGGAACAGAGATAAATAAATTGGACAGTATATTCGTTAAATGGGCATAGGAGAAAGTCATTGTTAATGACAGCAGATTACACCGCACAAAACTGAGGTGTCTCTATTGGGGCTTTTTTATTTGCTTATTAATGGCCTCACATAGGCAATGCCCATGCAGTCAAAAAACGTGCTGATGAAATCAAAATGGGAATATTGTTAATTCCTTGTGAATGTACACTTACATAAGGGTAGCTGGGCAAATGTGACTTTCAGAAGTTGCAATAAAAACCTTCACGTCCTCAGAGCAGGATCCACTCATGAGAGTTTGGTCCATTCTAGAATCCTCTGGGACTGGTTTTACCTGCGTGCTCACCAGGTTACACCCACTGCAACTCTCAGATGAGTTTACTGCACTGTACTGTTAGGATATAGATTATTTCCAAGTCAAAGCAATGATTTATGAGGAAAAACAACCCTCATTTATTGTAAAATTATTAGCCAATATTTTCAAGAGACTGGTCATTTTAGGTGCCCCCATTTCTGAGTGTTCAACTTAAGACTCATCCAGGGAGCCTGATGTTCAACACTGTGTGAAAAAAACAGGCTCTTTTAAAGTTTCGCAGGTTGGGCAACCAAAACTGAGGCATCTCAAATCACTAGTCACCTTGGAAAATCTCGGCCATTGCATATTTATAACAACAAAAGCAGAAAATTAAGGTCCAACGGATGGTGCTACCTCGTGATCCATAGATGTTATACAAAGTGTCATTTAACAGGAAGTTGGGAGTGAAATGAATGTATCGTCCCTTTTCCCCACATCCTCCATATTGCAGCGTGTAGGGATTATCTCCATACTTCAAGAAAGGATTAGCCACGATAACATCTGCCTGAAAATAAAATAGCCCTTGTTTAAAGAGCAGCAGGAAATGGAGGGTGGCAGATGATTCTGTGGAATGGGTTCATCCTGCAGCTTTTACTCATGAACACCCCCATTGATTGTTTCCCTGGGTAAGGACTGCAGGACTGGGCACTAGAGGGCAATACAAATTCTAAAAAGAGCAATTTATATTCCCTCGTTATTGGAAAAACTTAGGGCTGATCTACACAGTGGGGTAACACGCACTATGGGGGTGGGGGGGATTTCTAAAAGTGCAGCACTACGTTAAAGTGCATCAGGGAACATTTAGTACACACCAGCAGGGTCTACAAGGATCAATTAATGAACAACACGTTAATGTGTTTTAGAAATCATACCTCCATAGCATGCATTACTCCACCTTGTAGACAAGACCCTATGCCGTAAGCGTATGAACACAAAAAATACTTTTGGTTTGTAATGAGTGCTCTAAGTCTTACCTTATCATATGACTCTGTTTTTACACTTAAATACTCAGGTTTTGGCAGCCAATGCAGAGGAATTATAATTTTTACAGCCTTGAAAAAAAATCTCTGTTTTGTAGCATTGAACAAGTAAGTAGAAGCCTCTTTGACCATGTCCTGGCAGGGAAAAAAAAGAAAAGTTTTATGAATTAAAAATTGAACGGTAGAGGGAATGAGTAGTTTAGCCTTGCCAGGAAAGAAAAATACATAAAGTAACACTAAGTATGTGAAGGCATAGAAAGAAACCAACCTTGGCCAAGGGAAGGGCTGGGACAGATTATTTCCCTCATGGAGCAAGGAGAGACCAAACTGTAACTCTAAAAGACTCTAGAATGCTCCTAGGACAGTGCAAATATACACCGCCCCTTCCTCAGGGCTTATGATAAAAACCACAATTTATTCCTTAAAATAAAACCTGAAAGAGATCCTTCCAAACCTGAAATTTCCTGAAAAAAGTTACATGAGCCTGAGGTGAAGAATGGTTCAGTCCTGGACCAGTCCTTTTCATTAATCTGTAAAGTGTACTGTGGTGCTTGATGAATCAAATAAAATGATAAATAGTTAGTAATAACCTGTGGTTTCCTTTTTCTTCTCCCTGGGATCCTTCTATTAGAGTCGACTTTCTTCCTGCCTCTACAGTGGGCATTACTTTATCATTATTTTCCATCCTTCTTGCCCCTTCCCCACCTCTCCTGAGCAGTTTGGGGGCCACTAGTTAATGGCTATGCCTGCTTCAGTTTATTGTTCTCTTTAAAGCAAGTGAATGCTCAATGACCAGATCATGGAGCAAAGATCTGCACGGTGACTTTGAGAACTTAAAGAATAACTAAAACCAGAAATATCACTATATAC